GCTGAATTTCGACACTGCAAGTTCAGTTCTACACACTTTACACTTTTCAACAACTTTTTTATTAATTCCAAGCAGCTGATTTGTAGCATTATGTGATTACGAGTCATTTTTCTAATTTTCGATCAAATACGAGAGTTTAAACATTAATTAAAGTAAAACGCTTAGGATGAAGTGGTTTAATGGTGATATTTTTCATGGAGTAGTCACAGTTAAAGCACTAAATGGTTAAGCGCTCGCTATGATCGATTTTAGAGACAGTTGAATGGCAAAATGCTCTTTCATTCCGTACTAAGAGGGAAAGCTTGTCCATTGTTCTGTGGATTTGAGTGGTGCTATGACTAAGATTAATTCCTGGTGAATATCCTAATGAATTAAAATGTTTTACTTCACTTTCAACCAAATGTTATGCAAATGCTACAATTTTTCTCTAACTAATCTTATCTCACAATAAACAATAATTATACCAAAAATTCCTATCACCCATAGCTTCACCAATTCAGTAATTTAAATGAGAATATATTTCTTACAAAGCTGTGAATATGTAAATTCTTTTAATCAATTAATGTCTTGCACCAAAGTTAATGATAAATCACCAATTTAAACTCAAGATTTAAGCAAATACTTCAAAAAAAGACTATATCCTAATGGTGTACATGTTTGAACTGGCTTTTCTTATTAAGTAGTTAATCAAACATGTACTGATGTGCATGTGGACAATCATTATCACAACAAGGCTAACAATAAAAGAAGTGTTGTTTCTTGAAAAAACGAATAATTTTTGTTGTTGAGTACAATCAATAGTAATGTTCATATCCGTTTTCGGCGTAGTGATATGACGAAATTGATTAAGTTAGTGATCACACTAACTTTGCAACATTTTGAATTATTATTAAGACAGGAAGTTTGTTTAGATGAGTGTATTTGAAGTTTTCTTTATCTTGGTTTACCATTCACTGAAACGTTAAAGAAAGTCAAAAAGAGGTCTGAACTTTGATTGGGACAAAACGTAGTCGTCTACTTATGTATAATGGAATGGATATTCTATTCTATTTAGCTTCTTCTTTCGATCCTCCATGATATCTTGGTATTCGTGTATCTTGTAATATTCACCAGTGACCACTAAGTATACCTGTTGCCTTCTACTTTTCTCATCTATTCTTCTTTCTATTGGCTAGTTGACTGGTGGTCTATATTTGGTATTCGTAGGTGGAGCATGTTGACAAAAACAATCATGGAAAAAATGAAGTCGTTCATTGGAGAAAGCCTGGGTATTTTCGAATAAGAAGAATAGTTTTATGCTCATATAATTTCGAAATGCCGTGAAAAGATCTGTAACCTAAGTGGACGATTTTATTGGAGTTCTATTCTCTGAGTGAGGTGGTATAATCGTGAAGTTTTCATTTTGAGTTTTGAAGTTTGTGCTAACAATGTTGCCTGTACTTAGCTAAAAATACCACACTATGAAGATAAATTGTAAATTATTTCTAAAATATTTGGAACTACTAAAATGTACGTCAAAACCTCCTAAATCAAATTACTCGATGAACAGGAAATGTAAACATCTAGGATATTTAGTGATTTATTTTAAAAATTTCACTTTTAAAACTGTTGAAATTATTTTTTATCGTAGGGTGTTTGGGAGATTGCTCAATTTGGAGTTTTGCAACAATGAATAACCGTTTAAAGATCCCCGTCATATTAAAAGACTAGTATATGAACTACTAGTCTTTTAACAATGAATAACTAAGGTTAGACAACCAGTCACACTTATAAGGCATCAGATAGCTGCTTCCATACAGTTCGGGTCTCCTTAACAAAGAAAATTGATGCCCACAACAAGAAAGGGATGCAAGGTGAGCAGGTCTGACGACGTGGTCAGCTTTCAGACCATTGAATCAGTATCCAACGCTTCACATTTCTGACAGTTTCAGGTGGGTGACAAATACTACCATTAGTTTAAGAATATTCGGAATTCATCGGACATGTAAACTAGTGAATACCAACTCATTTATCTGAAGGTTTGACGTTTAACACGAAATCTAAAGGTCAAAGGTCCCATGCCTTGCGTAGTCGTCAGTGCTCACTGATAGGTTATCTCGTTAACTGATTCAAAATTAATCAGAATTTTATTATGTAGAGTTTAGTACTTATTATCACCGTCTCACAAACGGGGTTAACCTAGCTAATATACGGAGTCATATGGAAGATTTATGTCGATAACATATTTATACGTTCATCCGAATCCGAATTATATGAGCGTAACATTAAAATAGACTATTAAATTTATTTACACCTGTGCTATACTATGCTGATATTTCTTCAAAATAACCCTCAACTAAACTCTTTCATGTAAGTAATTTAAACCCATTTTGTAATTATGACTTTTAAATTCACAGGTTCTAAGCAGCAGCACACTGTTGAGGTGTTTCATAACAGGACGAAATGGCCTTCCAGTGCTTCCAGGTTTCCGACGGTGGTCTAACATCAATCGGTTCATGATCTCAATCAAAAAATGAATTCATCCTAATCTACCAAAATTTTTGTTATTGCGCTTTCCAAGATCATTAACGGAACTATGTGTATAAAATATTTTTATTTCCTGATATTTTGTTGATGTTTTGTCTTTCAAATTGTCCAAAAGAAATAACGGTTCGATGTTTTTCAGTACACTTATGTAATGGATAACATTTAGATGCGATCACTATTTATTTAATAAATTGTTTATCACACGGAAACCCCAAAATTAAACAAAAAGTAGACCATTTTATCCAATACCAACTTCTCCGTCGACGATAAATTGTATCACTTCTAAATGATAAACTTCATGGTGTTGAAAAATTAATAAAGCCAGTAAGCATATACGAATCTGTATTTGAAGCGTAGTGTACATAAATGTTTAATGTAATCCATGTTTTATAAAACATTACATATACGTTGTATTACATAAGAAGAAACAAAATATTTCAAATAAAAGATCTGTTGTTATTGTTATAAGAAATAATTTCATTTATTCATTTCAGTTTATGCATAAATTTCAAAATGTATGGAATGAATTGACAAGAATAAATAGAATCCGTTTATGTGAATTGACAGATAGCTTTATTTAAATAAAATGCCAACACAGTGCATTGAACGTTAAAAAAAGGACTCAGAAAACTCTAGTTATGTCTATACTTACTTACTAACGCCTATTACCCCTCATGAAGGAGCATAGGCCGCTAATCAGCACTCTCCATTCAAATTTGTCTTGGGCGATCCTCTTTAATATTCGGTCAAAGGATGTTGAGTATCATGTGTAGATAATTAATTATAAATACTTGTACTATTTTGATGGTTGTGGTAGTTCCCCACGCTTCAGCTCCATACAGTAGAACTGTCTTGACGTTTGTATTGAAGATTATGACTTTGATGTTAATTGACAGTTGTTTTGAGTTCCATATGTTTTTCAACTGTAAGAGTGCGGCCCTTACTGTGCCAATTCTTGCCTTTACGTCTGCATCCGATCCTCTTTGTTCATTGATGATGCTTCCGCCTCTTTCATATCTTCTCCATCAAGTGTGATTAAGATGGTGTCCTCCGTGTTGTATTTGAGGATCTTGGTTTTCAATTTGTGTATGATGAGTCCTGACGATACAGAGGCTTCTGCTACATTGTTTGTCTTGCCCTGCATTTGTTGGTGTGTATGGGACAGAAGGGCCAGGTCATCTACGAAGTCCAAATCGTTTAGTTTCATCCAACCTGTCTATTTTATTCCGTGCTTCCCGTCAGATGTCGGGGTCCTCATAATTCAATCGACCACCAGAAGAAGGAGAAAGGGGAAAAGTAGACAGTCTTGTCTGACTCAGGTCCTTACTTAGAATGCGTCTGTCAGATATCGTCCATGCACAACTCTGAAGTGTAGTTAGTTGTATGAATTCCGGATGATATTAACGATCTTCTCAAGTACTCCATATTGTCGAAGATGTTTCCATAAATTTCTCCTATTCACACTGTCAAATACTTTTACACAGTTAGGTAAATTGATGTATAGTGACGAGTAACACTTAACTGATTGTTCAACGATGATCTGTAGTGTTGCGACTCGGTCCATTCACGCCCGATCCTTAAGGAATCTGAACTGTTGATCTCGAAGTTGGGTGTCTACTGAATCTTTAAACCGATTCAACAACACTCTGTTGAAAACATTTCCTGGTACTGACAGTAATGTGATGTCACTGTGGTTCTCACACGCGCAGATCTATTGTCTTTGATATCACGACGAGGTATCCTTCTTTCCAAAACATCGACACTTGGTCTTCCTCCCAAATATTCTTGAATAGAGTGCAAAGCATGTTTGCAGTTACTTCTACGTCTGACTTCAGTATTTCACGTGGTATATTGCCAGGTCCTGCTGCTTTCCCCCACTTGGTTTGTCCGATGGCCATCCTGGTTTCTGCGATCGTTGGTGGAGTGATGTCTATGAGAAGGTCTGTAAATGCTACTTCGATATCACTGGATTCAATGGAGCTGGTTTATTTAAGAGTTTTCCAAAGTGTTCTACCCATCAGTTCCTCTGTTCTTGAACCTCAGTGATTTGTTCTCCTCCTTTGTCCTTGAACAGTCTCTCCACTTTACTATATTTCCCTGATAGTTTCTTTATCGTGTTATACAGTTGTTTCGTATTTCCTTCACTTGCAGCCTTTCCCGCTGTCGTCGCTAGCCCTTTCACATATTTCTGCTTGCCAGCCCGAATGCTCCTCTTCATTTGCTTGCTTGCTCCTGTGAATTCAGCTTACGCCTTGACTTGCTCTGTTTTGTTCGGCTGTTTTTAATTACCGCCCTCCTGTTCATCCCTTCTTTAATCTTGCCCAGGGTTTTCGTAGAGATCCATTTCTTATGATGATACTTCTAGGGGCCCAGAACCTCTTGAAAAGTTGAAGTTAATGCTTCTTTGATACCTTTCCAGTTGTCCTCCATAGTAGTTTTTCTTCCCCCAGTAGATCTTGTAAGGTTTGGAATATGTTGTTGAGAGTTATCTTGAATTCATTGAGTTTGTTAATATCCTGAAGGAACGCTCCATTGGACCTTTGTAATGTTGCCTGTTCATTTGTCCGGTTCTTCTTTAGCTTCAGTTTCATGTTTGAAACCATGAGGTGATGATTGGATACTATGTCAGCACCTCACGCCCAACTCTTCGCCTTTACCCTTGTTTGGTATCGGCAGTAGCCTTAAAAGAGCTAAAGGCGGAGTTATTCACGTCTGTGCGTCATAGTGTATAACTTAGAAACATGTCATGGAGAGCAAGTATATCATGATTTTTAAAAAATGAATAAAATTACGTTAGGCACGTAAACACCGATTCAGATCATATATGCATACATATATATGCCTAAAATAATTAAACGTGTTCAACTTCTAATTGTGCCTACACTTTACCAAACGTAACACACATATTTGCATCCATACATAGAGCACAAAACAATGAATGTATGGTGGTCGAAAAATGGTGTGTTGGTTCTTTCACATTAAAAAAATAACTAAGATAGTACTTTTTAAGTAAGCACTTTATTGCATGTCAATGATAATATACATGCAATTTTTTGTAATATTATAATAAATAAACTGAATAAAGCGTCATAAACATATACATATGTTTAAATATTATTAAACTGCGAAATGCACATATAGCTGACCACCAATTGTTCCAATTAAACCTGCAGTTAAATAACTCATTAAACCATACCAACCAAATCCAATAATCCAATAAATTGTAATACCATAAAATAATATTGCGTATGGTAAGAAATCGAAAAGGTGAAATTTTTCAAGTTCTAAGCATTGTTTAGACATTTCATCGGTGAAACAATCAAGAAAATTCTGTTTAATTATTCTTAAATCATTTGGTAAACATCGGATATTTTCACTACTGTAATTATTATTATTATTATTATTATTATTATTATTTGTATCCACAACATAGTTGTTCAGTGTTGTCATCGACTCGACAATGTTTTGATGATTGGTATGACTGTGATTTTGCAATGTTTGAGATGATTTATAAAATCTTGTTTGTAAATTATCGATAAAACTAAGAATTAATAAGGTAGAAAAACAAAAAAAGTTTTTCAATCAGGGCAAGATTATTAGTAATATAAACTGATTTTAGCTGGATCATTATTCAAAAGCTAGAACTACTCTATAGCTATTATATTTTTAGTTTGAAAACCTTTGGAAATATACAGTCATGGTAAGTGGGGAGTATGTTAAATGTATATTACTAATATGAAAACTAATGGTTCACATTTTTAACTTCAAGTTGATTTACTATAATGAGTCGCCGTAGTTGGTCATCGTTTCTCATAATATTAAAGGATAGTCATTCATTGTTTCACGACTTGCAAGAGCTGTCTGATTGTAATTTAATTCTTGATGCAAAACAACTATTTGAACAATTATCACAAACGTAACTTATCTTAATCGAAATAAACTTAACCGATAAAAACGTTATTCTGAGTGACATACGGCCTTTTGGGAAGGATGATTCAATCTCTAAGTTGCAAGTTTGAAGCAGGATGTGATGATGTTGACCACAATGACAAAGTAAGCTTCGACAATGAATTACTTAGTTCCAAATCTTGTGTTAGAATGTATTTTTTTGTCCTTAATTTATCAACTAGTTTTTGACTTTCTTTTTACCGTAAAGCATATTGTTTGATGTATCTTGAACATCCCTATTTACCCCATGTAACCATTAAAACTACCAACTCTGTACCTATGTATACCAAAGAATTCATACAATCAAATTAAGATGAAACATGTATCCAATGACTTTGTAGATAAGATTAGGAGGAGTGCTGTCAAAATAAACAACCCATCATCAACTAGCCAATCAAACCATAAGAGGAGATTATTCACTTTGAAGTTATTATTTTTATCTCGAGTTGATATCAACCAGAGAAACGTTAAGAAACTAAGAAGAACTGATGGTTGCGTGATTTTGATTTCTTACTCTAAATATCTATGAAACTATGAAGATGATAATTTTTCTCACATAGGAGAACCGAATATAGTTGAAAATGTAGACTATTCATTTTTCATAGTGTTGCTTACTGTGAGAGGTGAAAGTTATCAAATCAATCTCCGGCAATATTGTACACATCTGAAAACTTCATCATTACCATGAGAAATTTATCCTTCAGACCCTAGTTTCTAATACTTTTTTAATCCAATTGATCTAAATCTTCGAGGAAAATCTATTTCGACTTTAAGTACCATCTACAAACCTTTAAAACGAACTTTAATCTATTCACTTTGTCTTCTACCTTTCACATTTGCACAAAATTCAGAACTAATCAACAAATTCATTTGTTGGGTATACTTTTCAATTTGTATTCCATCCAGTAATCCAGCCAATCAGAATCTATACTGAAACTTGGGTTTAGTTGCTATTGGACACTCGTCAACAAGGTGTACTTGTAGTCTTGATAGAGCACCAGCTCTCTGTCAACAGTTAAATAGGAAGAAGCTTAGATCGATCATGTTCGATCGAATTCGTTCAGTATTTAAAAGGATTAGACAAGCATGAAATTTTTCACTACTCAGTCAATTGTTGAAAAGCGATATATTAAGTGGACAAAGAAACTTAACTTACTCATCCTTTATTCTATAACGCTCATACAGCCATTGAGTGATTGATTGACTATCACTTGGGATTTGCTTTATTGGTATACGTTTTAAATAGATGTATAAACTTCGCTGTCTTATTAACCAATCTAATAATATGTTTTAAAAGTAAAACAAAATGACATAAATAAGAAACAATTTTTAACCCGAAAAAACAGCAACAACAATCAAGTTCATTTTTAATTAGTTTATTTTTAATACAACAGATGAATAATTATGTGGATTAGTTGAAATTAGACATTAACACCGTTGGATGCTGGCTCAGTGGTCTAATGGATGAGCGTTCGCGCGCGAAAACGATTGTTCCAGGGTCCGAATCTCGCGAGACTGGATCGTGGATGCGCACTGCTGAGAAGTCCTGAAATAGGACGAAACCTGTGCTTCCAGGTTTCCCATGGTGGTCTAGCTCCAACTGACTTATGACCTCAACTATTAAAATTGGAATAAATATATGTCTTAAAAGTTTTTCTATCTAATTACTAAAGTATTGACTCGATGGATCGAGATAATTAGATTGACCATATATTTTAAAGTAAATAGAAATCAGAGGAATTGCGTGAAATATGAGAAATATTTCTCTCTTAGGCACAAATACTTGTGATTATGGTTGTAATTGACCATTTGTTTAAATGTAGGGTAATTAATATAAATGCTAATCAAAAATTTTAATTCGAAAATACATCTTCATAATAAAAATGACAAGAGGAGAGAGATATTCTATAAAATATTAAGTAAGAACAAGGTATCATATAAGTGGGACCATGACGAAAGTGAGGATTTGACATTCAGTATACGACATAAACTGTGATTTTAAATTTCTTTTCAGTTATCACAAGCTAGACTGAGTAATTTTATTTCAAATGACTTCAAACATTACTTAGTCTTTTATACTTGATTCAACACACCAATATTTTCACAGCTCAAAGACTTACTAGTTGTAACTTGTAAAAAGAAAATGCTCCCAGATGTTCCGTTACATGTTATTTTATTTACGTGTACTAAGTATATCAATGGACAATAAGTAATGAGTGGCTCTTATTGATAGTCCACTCAATTATTTAATGGTAGATGAATACAATACTGCATTCATAGTCGAATATGCAATGATTACTTGTTTGGTTTTATTAAAAAAGGACGAAGTTCAAGGTTCAGCCGTAGATTTATGCTGTTATAAGTACCAGTATAGTGAACGAGAACACAAGTGGGGGCAATCGAATGTATTTAGATACTAAATTTTTAACATCTTAGTAAATTCTGAGAACCATACAGTGAACACTTCGTTGACAAAATGTCAATCAATCTTCTCAAACTCCATTGTTCTTTTTATTCCACACCAGTACTTTTTATTTTCGTTCTCTTTTCTTTGATTTTCTTCTGCCTCCAGGCATTTCAGTTTCGATTGATGATACTTATTGCATATTTCTGTCAAGATCAGTACCACACAACACACTAGTATTGAATCCGTTTTTATACATTTTTAAAATATTGAATGCAGTCGATTTTAAAAACCACAGATTGAAACGATTTACAAACAAAAATGTGGATAGAAAAAGTCATGAGGTTTAATACCACTGGTTTATACATGTGATGAATAGTTATATCGTTTTAAAAGTAAAACCATCAATGAATGCTGAGTAGTTATTGTGATTATCCTAAGTGATTTGTGATGTTGTGATTCTTGAAATAAATAAATGTCATATGTCCGATTCCACGTCAAAGTGAACTGTTGACCAGTTTCAAACTAAAAGGAATTAACCATACAGCTCAATGATAGCTCATGTTGGAGACGGATGGAAGAAAGCTAGAGGTGGCCAAACCAAAATATGGCATCAGTCATTCAAGTTACTAACTCCTGGTCTAAGCCACGTTCGTAGATGCAGATTACTTGGTCGGAGTTTGCGTGACTGTCGTAACAAATGGTTGAGGACTCTGGGTGACGTGGCTGAGAATCGATCACAATGTCGTATGTGTATACACTCCTTGTGTCACCTGAAATCGTGAGACTAAAATCACTTTATACCTTTCTTCCTGTACTACATCCTTATACACAATCTTTCTTTTATATTTTACAATCATTGGAGTAACTACTTCTATGAATTTGGTGTTTATCTTGTTGTGCTAAATTGGACCGATGTATATATGTGCCTGATCCTACGTTGTAGCTGTCTGACTGATTGTATTTCACAGTTACTATCTGAATTTAACCAGTGATGAAAATTACATACCATATAATGTTCTATTCTTAAATGTCTAATTAATAAATTGGCTAAGTAAATTTAAAAGTTTGTTGTTTTATCTACGGTTTCTAACAAGCAGTAATTCTATGAGAATAAAGCGGGCGAACATAAGGTTATTTATATTAATCTAACTGACAATCTCAAATGCTATAGAATAACCAATTATTTGCAGTATATATATATATATATATATATATATATATATATATATATATATATATATATATATATATATATATATATATATATACAAAATCAAAGATACCAGCATCTGAATAAATGTACACTTTAATGTTTAGTTAATTGATATCCTATTCATTTATAAGTAAAATCTTTAACGAGATGTGCATAGTATTATAAAATTTAAATATATTACAGGACTATAAAGTATTAGCAAATATATTGAATAGAATATTAATTGTTCATTATATACAGTATGATGTAATTCGTTGAATATATTTCTGTAATACACTTAAAATTTATTACGTTTTTATCCATATATTCAGAAATTTCACTAATTCAAATCATGAGTCAATTGAAGCTAGACCACCATGGAAAACCTAGAAGCATAGGGCGGCCTTTTCGTCCTATTTCGGGGCTCCTCAGCAGTGCGCATCCACGCCCCCCCCCGCGAAATTCGAACCCTGAACCTATCAGTCTTGCAAGCGAGTGCTTAACCATTAGACCACTGAGCTAGCATCCAACGGTGTTAATGTATAACTTCAACCAATCCACGAAATTGCTCCACCGTACACCATTTTATTCAGGACGAAACGACCGTCCAGTGCTTCCAGATTTCCATGGTGATCTAGCTTCAATTGACTCGTGATTTCAACTAGTGAAATTTTTAAAGTCTCCACAAAACTCCTGATAATATTCAGAAATGTTAATTCTAGTTTTCATCCTTCTATTATTTATGAATAGATAATCTATATTATTACTATTATTTTAAGTAGTATTTACAAGAGCAAACAGTATCAAATTGAAGAAGGAATATTACTCTAATATAAATTTAAATTTATTCTTTTTTTTGTTTCGTTAAACAACAGGTTTATTCATGTTTATAATTTGTGTAGAATATTAAAAAAAAATTAAATTAATGATTTTAATAATAATGATATGATAGAATTTAATTAATTTTGAATAAGAGAATTTCTTGTTTAAATGTAAATAAATGTCAAAGTTGAAATGGTTAATATTCATATACCATAGAATATTCAGTTACATGTATACAGATATATATTCGAAGAAATAGATCTTGTTTATGACAATTATTGATCTGTCATAAGAACAATTTACCTCATTAAATATTACTGAGCCATTGATGCAAAAAAGATCCTGTGATAGCTCATCACAATATTAAATCTAAAGGGGTTTTTTTTTAATGTTCTAATTGGAGTCAGATCGATGATTGAAAAGAATTTGATAATAAATATACAATTATAATTGTATGGTTTTGTTTTAAGAATAAAATACTATGTTATCTACAATATGTTAAAAGATCGTACAAAAAAACGAGAGACTTTATACTGTCATAATGAGCTTAGAGTGTTATATCCTAGTGACGATTAAATTACGGGTAACTTCCGAGGACTAATATTCTGTTAATATTCTTATTTCATAACTATTCAATAATTAGATTATGTATATTTATATTTCTCTTATTATAAGCTTTATTTTGACCTATAATTTATTAATCAATCAATTTATTAATTAATCGTATAATAATATACGATTTACGGTTCTTAAGCTATGTTCAGTTTATTGATTACTGCCTCCCACTTACACAGCTACTTTTTGGCTTTATTGTGTATAAATGGTATTTCCTATTTTATGGTGCGTTGCGGTCTGTTTGTTTGTTATATAAACACAGTATGTTTGAAATATATAATTCGAATAGTGGAAGCTGGTATTTTTGTTCTGAACTCAACTGGACGGGCTAGGCGGACATAGGACCAATAAGGACGCTAGGCTGCCCATACCGGTCAAATGTCATTGATTTGGCACAATACTAAGATTGTATAAGTCGTATTTCGATTGGCGGATAAATCACGTGATACTAGCCGGACATAAAGACACAATATAGAGCATGCCACAGTCAAATGTTGTCGTCGAGGCTATGGTTCGGAAAGGTGATATGATGGAAAGAAAAGTCAATTTTCGATTGATCTACTCATTATGAGTTTTGTTCAATATTACTTCCGTTTTGATTCAATGTAATGATTACTCAACGTAGTATTTATTTTCTTTTCTCGTATGATATTTTATTCTGTATAATATGCGATATTCTTGTATTCCATTGACATGAACTATACTCAGTCTGTGATTTGTTATAACTGATTATGTGATTTAATCTTAATTATTAATCAAAAATGAGTGTACAATCAATGTATAAATGAGTGTATTTTCTACTAGAATCGTCATCGTTGTCGTCGTGTTTTGGGGTTAATAAATCATCACTTATACCAGTCTTTGTATTCTTACTTTCGCGTCGTGGGGATTGTAGAGGTCCCTCGTTCCGAGTATAAGTGATAAGCGTTTCCGACATAACAATCAGCGACGACCAGATACAAAAAGTGGCATTAAAAGAGCCAAGACAATAAGCATTCAAACAACAAGTCATAACAGAAGGACATAAGGAAAAGATATATATGAAGGAATAGCGAGCATTAAAGAATAGATTAGTCTAGTCTATTATGACTTAGTTTTGGCTGTTATCCGATTCTTTAATTAGTGATTACTGTTAACATGCAAAGTAAAACCAGGTAATTTGTATTTAAGAACACGGCACAGACAAGCAGTCAGTGACTTCGTCACCACTATATTTCTTGCAACCTACTTCCACACCAGCTAATGTAACTTTTTAAGATAGGTGGTCGATTCATATAAATGGTTTAATGGTTAAACCATTCGGCTTTTAACTAGCACGTTACAGGTTTCCCTCTCTTTTCACTCTTAAAATCACATAACGTATAAACACATGATAATTCTGAAATTTTACAATTGGTCGATCACTGAGTAATGACCAGTGTCATGTATATCAATTACTTCTTGGTGATGATCGAAGATATGATAAGGAAAACTAATTGATAAGGTTTCTGACTGTGAAGCGTAATCTGAGTGATGAACAACGATTGATGAACCATGAAATCTAATCATTCTATAAAGTAAGCAAAAAGAATATACAACAAACATCTAAGCATATTTACAAAGTATGTGAATGAAGCTGTAAAACAGACATTTCCAGAGAGGTGTTAGTGATGTGAAAAACAGCAAAAAGAGAACGAATATTTGACAAAAATGAGTGATGGGGATGTGCAAAACTCCTGATTCATAAAACTATGGCAAATAATCGAATGTATTATTTGAAACTAAACAAGTTAGGAAATGACATCATTTTTAGTCAAAGTTTGAATTATCCCATTATTATTATTAACTAAATTTTCGTCATATTTTGTTGTGATACGTGCGTCCTGTGTAGATCGCTTCGATATAATCGTTATTTCACAATTTCTATGGAGTAGAATGGTTGCGCTTAGCAGCGGAATCGACGATGAATGTTTCATCCAAACTAGAATTTATCAGCCAGATTTACTTACGCTATAGTAATGGTGTTCTAACTAAAACTTCAGCTCCGTGGTATTTGCTTCAAACTCTCATGTACTATCTAGTAGAGTGAAAAGTGTTGGGCTCTGGGCTTATCAACACTGAAATATCATTGAATCTTCTTGAGGAGTCTCAAGTACCACGAAACGTGCATCCAGATTTTCACTCCTATTCACTGTCTGCTTATTCTGAATAGATATGAAGTCCATTTATCGAGGCGTAAAATATCAACCATTCATAAGAAAATCTTAATATTCTCATAATTTTGTTAGTTAGCATATTATCAAATCTTACCTCCCAAACCTGGTGCAGGTACAGAATGATCGTATGGATAACCATTTTCATCAGCGAATACGGTTGTCACATCGTATAAAGCATCAAGACAATCATGCATCTGATTTAATATCAACTGAATACCTCTTCTTCTTGGCACCAAAACATGCTTGAACGGTTTAATACCAGCTTTTGAAAATGAACAATATAAATAATAATGAATGACCTGATCATCACTGCACTTGAAAAAAACAATGTAAAGTATATGGTTACAACGAAAATTTTGAGCATTATGAAACTATGTACATTATTGAATTATAAATATTCAGTTCATAGTGTTGTTGTAACTTAAGAGACTAAGGTTTTTTATCGGTTGGTATACCTTAAAAATAATTGGCCTTTGGGATGTAAATGTACAATTTAATTAGTAAACAATACATCGAATGAATTTATTTTACGAACTCGCTACTGGGTAAATAATTTTATGCATATATGTGTAACATCTTTAAATTGTCAACTAATGGATATGTTATGGTTGTAAAGCTAATGTACTGCGGCAAGTTATAAGATTACAAGTATATACGGACTAAAAATAAGCCAGATAACTTTGTGAATGAAAGGAACATTAATAGCATACATTGTTGAAGGTTTTTTTGTAATCTAATCTAAGAGTTGCATAAGATCAACTTGAAACAATATTTAGAAAATGACTGACGGGAAAATTCTTGCTTAGAATGTTTACATAAGTTTGGCATTTAGTATAAATAAAACTTATGATAAGCATTTGATAAAAAGAGAAAGTATACGGAGTAACAATCGGATATTACATTCTATAACAAGAGATTGTTGATAATGAACAAAATGGAAGAATGAAATATGTTTCAAACATTTTATCCTGTGGGTAAGTTTATATCATACAACTAAAAAGCTAAAATTATCAAACTAAGTGAAATACTGGCATAATATTTATCGAGCGGTTTGATCACACATTAACTTGTTAAGGTTATACATGAAAGCAAAGGTAAATTACATAAAATGAAAGATGAATGAAAAATGAAGATACCATGGAAAAAAATATGAAATTCACCGAGCTGAATAGTAAATCAATATCACCAGGACAGTTTCAGTGTGCAACGTTTTTTGAAAACATACGGGAGTTTTAAATTTCGTATGTCTAAGGCTTCGACAAACCTGAATATTTACTGTAGAGACCTATTCTATAGAACCAATGTGGCCGAGAGTAGATGAATCATTGATCTGTCTCAACTATGCGTCAAGCGATGAGCCCGGGATGGTATTTGTCATTCGCTGTTACTGGGCCATTTGGTTTTACTTATTTATACATTTGTTTTGTTCAAAACCTATGACTTGTAAATCAGGGGTTTGAACAACAATTTGTGGAGAAATGTGGAAAGCTCACTTCTCACTGAAGTCTGAAAAGGCAATCAATGATACACATAGAAACCTCATTATATTTAAAAAGCTAGCGTTTTTTAAAATGTTTGTGTCGTTATAAATTTAAAATTTGTCATGAATGTAATGACGTGTAAAATTCGAGCATCGTTATAAGTCAATATATTATCATACTTGCGAATACCAATTGAGTACTTCTGTAGTAATATACTCATATCGTTCTCCGATCAGCAGAATTCTGTTATCATTTATGATTAAAATATTACTTCAGTAAGCATGATCTTGAACATACTCTGGATACTTCAGAATCAGGAAACACTGATAATCAAGTATCCCCTAAAAATATGATCCAGTGACGAACAGAGAAGAAAGATATGATAGTTGAGAGGATATATATATATATATATATATATATATATATATATATATATATATATATATATATATATATATATATATATATATATATATATATATATATATATATATATATATATATATATAGCCGTAGCTAGTTGCAGACAAGAGTTTCATGATAGATCATGGCATGATTTGGTTGTGATGCTTGACACAGCGCCGTCAGCTAGTTGATGTCTGTTTATTTTAAGGAATGACTAACCACGACAATATGACAGTTTCACAATGTTCAAAAGTTATTTTCAAAGTAATTTTAGCTAGTTATTAGATTGTTGCTCGTTTCTATCATCATGCTTATCGTATGAAGAGTTGTTTTCAAACGCACTAAAATTTAACAGACTTTTTATCAGTTCCTTAATGTATGTATGCATATATACATACCATTGATTGCAGATAAAACTAATTATCTAGTAGATATACTAGTAAGCAATATGGATGTTGTATGTTGCATACATATTGGACTTATATTTATTTAACTTTATAATAATATACAGTAATATATAATGATATTAAGCACATTAGAAAGATGATTTAAAAGAATAGGAATATTTGACGATTGGTTATGTTGTAAATACCACTAGCGTCAAGTGTTGTATGTTTTTCTATGGCTCTCACACAAACAAAAGTCATCATGAATATAACCGACTTTATGGGTGCAAGGAAAACACAGGTAGTAAACAGTTAATAATTGCTTTAAAGTATTCTCTTTGTGGTGCATTTAATTCCGAAATAATTAACTGCTGAATAAAAATAGAACAAGTTGACGGTTGTATTCGCTTGACTAGAAACCATAAACTTAGGCATAGTATAAATATCCACTCATTATCATGATCTAACTATCTTGATAAACTGATGTTGCCAATGATTTAAGTTATACCTATATTAATCATTCCTGGAAAATGAATGGTATACTTTTTTGGTAAGCGCTAACCAAGTACTCTATTTCTCCATGATTGTTTTCAACCACCAACCTACATTAGAATATAGTGCGAGCATTTCGATCCGTTTAGACAAGTACTAGTCAGACTAACTTGACTGATAAAACGTGGTGATCACTAAAGGAGTTGTGGTGTATGCTACGTATGTCTATAGTATGTAGAATGGCTGGCAGCAGAAGGCTAAAAAAATCGAATTGAAGTAAAATAGAAAGGGATTGTGAATTGAAAGAATCAGACAGAAAGTAAAAGACAATTGATGGAAAATTTACAAATGAAGCATTTAATGTATGGTTCTCATGTTTTGCAATTTTGTACGAAATAATAAATTGGTTGTCCCTACCTAAGTTCTTGTTAGCTACGGAGTTATTATTCAGTGATTAAACATCAGAATAAACTAAATCAAGATGATGAATATAGAAAATTAATCCTGTTAACTTAAATATATACATTGAAGTGTTGTAGACTTATCAGTGTTTCATTGATGGATCTATCTATGCGTAGAATCAAATAAAAAGTTTGTGTAAATTGACTATTGAAATAACACACAATATGTATTTATTCAAATAATTAAGTGTTACATTTTTTTAAAATCTGAAAACAAGATTGAATGTGATTTAACGCATAATCAACTCATATTGAGCAGATAATGTTTGTTTTATTCGTTTCAAGCAAACGTTTTAGGAATTAGACGTTGAATTACACAGATAAGCCTTAATATATATTCCTTTAAATAAGTAACGAAAATATAAAAAAATATCAAGTTAGGTAAACCGCTAGCTTTGAGATCAAATTAATGTAATTTTAATTTTGATTGAAATTGTGTCTGGTTAAGAATATCCTTCGTTCTCAAAGTAGGATGATACAAATCGTTAATGACGTACATAATGGAAAACATCTTCATGAGGTGTTTTTGACTGGTTAGTGCTTATAGTATATGAACGAATTTAAAGTAAACACGACGAATTTTCAGCAATTTCTTAGCTAATTAGAAGACAAATTTTGTAATTGGATAATTTTTGTAAACGAAAATGACAATACTAGAAAGTGTAAACAGATTCTTCATCAAGCTTTTCAGGTCTTCTACGGGTTACTTTGCCTATAGTACGAAAAACCAACGACAAATAAATTCGCCCATATGCATATAGATTATCCTTCTTCTCAAACCCTTACAAGAAGACATATATATTTTTAAGAGTCCCAACTTTGTTCTTGGTTAGGTTTTGGATTAAAGGTCTCATCGTAAACCGATAACAGTTAGAAAGCAAAAATGTACTGTAGCCATCTGGATGGGTGAATTTTATGCAAAAATCCTGAAGGGATTCTATCTTGAATCAAGTTAACAAATTCATGCACCGCAGGGTTTGAATTGACTGTCACATAAAATCCACACCAAGAGAATCGAGCATTTGGTGCGCTTAACATTACGACGTTTAATCCTTGATCACGAAAAGAAATTTTACGTTTTATTTTAGATGGTACTACTCTGCTTACTTCTACTTTAAGTCGAAGTGGCTGATTTCATTCAGCACGGAAATAAAAGCTGAACACTTAAGTGAATATATGTTTATGAATTTGTAAACACTTTTATTCTTTAAATAAAATTTTAAATAGCATAAATTTAATAAACTGTAATATATGGATAATAAAACCTAGATGAGGAATGTTTATAATGACAATTTGATCAATAGGAGACATTTATATTATATGAGTCAATATTGTAATAAAATCACGAAATAAGAAACATTAAACCGAGGGTAACCATCGAATTCACTAGGATCAGTGCAACTGAGTGTTTAGACTAGCCGTATTGTATGTTAACAAAGACATGAAATCGTACCGTAACATCAAGAAGCAAGCGCAATGAAATTAATCGGTGAGCATCAGGTCGTCATAAAGATATGGAATATTGATTACCGTATAAAGTTTAACGGTTTGCAATTATCATATAGACCTAAGTACTTTAAAAAGAAAAAAGAAATAAATACTTTAGAAAATTTGAATTCAAAGTATTTTCATTCACTGATAATGTTATTGTGTTTAATGAAGGTTTCCGAATTTTTTGAACCAGTTTGGAATAATTCAAATACTTAACTTTCGTTCTTCCTGTTTCGATGTCAGGATCAACAGTAATGCTTGCCGGAGGCCCTACTACTTTTTGTTCTCTTTTTATGTGTGCCAAAAATTTCAGCTTTGCATAATAAGATTTTTCATTTGGACTAGGAAGATGGTAATGAGTTGTCCGTACATAGCGTATTGGGACTCACAGTCGATCTATGTTAGTTCCAAATCAGAGAGCGGTCAATCTATGTTGGTATTAACAATTCTATTGCTAGCAAAATATTTCAACAATTAGCCTCTAATCCAAGGGAAAAATGAATTGTATGAAAGATTTAATACTCAAGTAGAACAACATCAAATGATAGAACTCTGTTTAGATAGCGATGAAACAATGAATTTCAAATCCACACAAAATAAACGGACTAATATTAGTGGCACACAATCAGATAAAGACTAACATCATACAAAAATGCATCTGGAAAAAAGTATTATCAAAAAAACTAGGATTTTTAGGGAAATCGAGTAATCTCGAGATCAGTTTGTCATAAAGCAAAAATATTTCATTGTACATTCAAAACAGTGATCAGAAGCATTTGCTCATTAAATGTACGTCATAGACCAGTAAAGTAATATTGATAAGATTACTGAAAATTAATTGACTGAGTAGCTGATTGACAAGTTGATGAATTAATTTATTCAATCAACTGCATGAAATATCCATCTCTTTTTTCCCTATATACATAAATAAAATTATTTATTGACTGTGGTTACATTCAGATACCTAAATATCATTATTATAATTAGGATGTAAATAATTAAATTAGTTTGCAGTGCATAACAGTCAGTTGCTCAGCTACAACGTAGGATCAGGCACATATATACATCGGTCCAATTTAGCACAACAAGGTAAACACCAAATTCATAGAAGTAGTTACTCCAATGATTGTAAAATATAAAAGAAAGATTGTGTATAAGGATGTAGTACAGGAAGAAAGGTATAAAGTGATTTTAGTCTCACGATTTCAGGTGACACAAGGAGTGTATACACATACGACATTGTGATCGATTCTCAGCCACGTCACCCAGAGTCCTCAACCATTTGTTACGACAGTCACGCAAACTCCGACCAAGTAATCTGCATCTACGAACGTGGCTTAGACCAGGAGTTAGTAACTTGAATGACTGATGCCACATTTTGGTTTGGCCACCCCTAACTTTCTTCCATCCGTCTCCAGCACTGGTCAGCATTGCGCATCGTGATAATTGGTGGTTGAGCATGCGTATTATGTGGCCCAACCATTTCAGTTTATGTAGATTCACATCGTCATCAACTGATTTACCATTATTCCCTAATACCCTGCGCCTAACCTCTCCATTACTGACCCGGTGATTCCAGTAGATGGAAGCGATATTTCTAAGACATTTGTAAATATGTACTTGTAAATTATGAGTATCCTCTACTCCTAGTGGCAACGTTACGTAGTAAAAGAGAACAAACTGTAGTGCATTATAACTAAATCTTAATTGATTGGGGAATATCTCGCTTTCTTCACAGGTGACGTAAATCTGCAATAACCGGACGAGGTTTCTGAATCTGTACAGACACCAAAACATTATGGCTGATCAAACTTACAAGATAAATGGATTTGTCGACGCTTTCGACTACCTCAATTCATATTCTTAGTTAGTGTGTTGACGCAGACCGGTCCCAAAGCAAAAATATATAATTAGATGGGGAGAAACTCATCCAAAACATCTTGGCATTGTTGTTCAGTGCTACCAAAAGACTCTGCATTTTATTAGCGTCTTCACCGAACACGACTATATCATCTGAGTATTCGAAGCATAACATATATACACTAAATAAATTGTAACTGATGAAAGCTTCAACAATCCATCTTGGAACAACTTATAATTAATATCATTGATGTGTTAACAAACTATGGTGTAATTATGATAAGCAAACCCATTTATTATTTAATATAATTTGTGAATTTTCATAAATTATAAAATCTATTTCTCCAAAGGTCTTTTATCATTGACTTAGTAAAAATGAAACATGTTGAATTCCATAATAACCATATTCACTTATAAGTTATTTATCTATAGTAGTAAGTTAACTTAATAAAATAATAATTTATGGAATAAACAACATAGGCGTTTCAGTAAATAACAAATAAATGAGACTTTGATATTTAAACAATTATAATTACAATAATACAATGATCATTATTGTTAGAAATTAATCAAAGCAGCTTCATAACAACAAAATATCAATAAATTGTACGTGATTACAATTAATGATAATAATAATAATAATAATGATAATAATAAAGATTAATGTGGTAATAATATCTATTTCAATAAATCATTATAGATATTACATAAAATGGATGTCTATAAAGTATCCACAGTTACTAATTTATATAAAAACCTATTTAATTAAACATTTTCTTAATTTTCATATTACTCTCTAATGGTATACTAATGTAGAATGAAAATTCAAGTGAGTTGTTGGTTTTGTGAATAGAATAATTGAGTTCGTTGTTGACATTTATCTATCAACCACATTAGATGATGTACATATCATAGTACACAATTTGACAGAAATTAATGAATGTCAATCAATGGATAATGACTGGAAGTGTAATTTATGTCATAGTCGTTGAAGAATTTCATATCTTTGAAGTATTTTTGAATATGAAGTCAAAAGTTGATAAACTATAGCAGATTTATAAAAACTACCAGGTTTTCTATGATACTTCAATTGACAAAAATCATTTTTAATTGAATGAAGTATTATACTTAGGTTCAGTCAGTCAGTCAGCTACAACGTAGGACCAGGCACATATATGCATCGGTCCAAATTGTCATATCACATAAGCACAGCAAGATGAACACCGGATTCATAGAAGTAGTTATTTCAATGATGGTAATATATAAATGAAAGATTGTGTATCAGGATATAGTACAGGAAGAAAGAATTAGAACATAGAAAGATATGAAGCGATTTTAATCTCATGGTTTAAGGAAAGACAGAGAGTGTATACACCGACGCCATTGTGATCGATTACTTCACCCCCTATCCTTAGTTCAGGTGTTTACGCAGACCAGTCTTGAAGCAACAACTTAAATTTGGAGGGAGAGAAGCGCATTCCAAACATTCTGGCATTGTTGCTTAGTGCTACCAAAAGACTCTGCATTTTATCAGAGTCTTCACCAAACAGGACTACATCATCTGCGTATTCTAGGTCAATAAGTGGACCCCCTGGTAGGAAATGAATGCCCGAGAATTCAGTCGATGAGAACGTTATTTCAATCAGTAGATCTATGATGAAGTTAAACAAAAATGAAGAAAGTGGACAGCCTTGACGGACAGCACTTGATTATACTTAGGTTAGAGATGTCTTGTGAAGACTGGATCGGAACAACATATATAAGCGAACAATATTGTTTTCGATTGGATAGTCATCAGGCTTTACTTCAATATACAGTAATATTTATATGCATATATGAAATTATTAAACTAATAAAGACAGTTTATAGGACAATGATAACAGTGGAATAGATTACATAAATAAGTGAAAAGTACAAATTGGTAGTGTGATGACTGGTGCATTAGTTGTGATAAAAATAATAAAGGCATAAATCAATGTTATTATTCTTATCGCAGCTAGTACACCAGTCATCACACTACCAATTTGTACTTTTCACTTATTTATGTAATCTATTCCACTGTTATCATTGTCTTATAAACTGTCTTTATTAGTTTAATAATTTCATATATGCATATAAATATTACTGTATATTGAAGTAAAGCCTGATGACTATCCAATCGAAAACAATATTGTTCGCTTATATATGTTGTTCTAAAGCACAATATGGGAATTTTTTAAATTTTGAAGACTAGTTTAATTTATAGATCATGTTTGTCAAAAAGTGGTGTCAGTTGACGGTACTATTGAAAACTAGAGAAATTTAGACATAGAGACCAGAACATCTTTACTATATATTACAACGAAACATTTGTCCATTATTCCCTGGTATTTGGTGGCGCAAAAAATGTGATTAGTCTGTGATACATACAAACAAGCGGGTTTTATGAAATGAAAAGCAACCTCACAAAGTGAAATGATCTTTTCTAAATCTTAAGTTAAGCACTGAACCAATGTTATGAATAGCTTGTCTACAATATCTTTGAGTAATATTGAGTAATAAAAGTTTAAAACTTTAAAGAAATATTAGTTTCACTAAGGTTTAAAGTACACCTTGATGTCATCACATGACGTAAAAGAATTTAGAAAAATTTAGTACCCTAATAATATATTTATAACATTCTTTATAATAAAGTTTAAAGGATTCAAAAGTGAAATATGATGTTATTTTACAAAATGGCAGTCACGTTTACCTTTCTCAACGGCGAATTTTTGCGAAGCTTGAATCACATCATGCTTCCATGGATTGTATCTAGTACCTTCAGGGTAAATAACCATCCAAGTCTGTATATGAAAAGAGGAAAAATGGTTTGTGAGTAAAAACATCAACAAAATATCTATCTTGACTGTACAAGTGGGTTATGTAATTAACAGTAATTCACAAATTTAGATTACATGAGTAAAACGCAGTGGAATAACTGAATTAGTATTTTAAACAGATTTCAAGACTGCTAAAATTTAGTGAATGGTTTTTGTCGGCAAACTGCTAAATTTTTATTGAAACTGATTAGTAAGCTTCATTTGTGGTCATGATTACGAGCACGACAATTTCATGCATTTGAATGTGTAATGCTCACCGTTAAAATAAATTTCAATATTTTGATCTAACCTCACAAGAATACAGTGTTTCAATATCTCCTAGCGTGTGTAATACAGACGGGAAGGTACACTGAGTAAATGCATTATTCATCTAAACAGAGTAAGCTCACATATGTTCCTATGGTAATCAATCTGTTTACCCTCGGATGTGCACAAAATGTGAGTAAATTTATTCAATATTTAACTAAATAGCTTCAAATACGTTGATGATTTTGTCTCCTATCTATTTGTACTAATTATATATTCACGAAAGCGCGTAATCACTTGACTGGAAAAAACTGTGAAACATCTTTCGAATTTAAAGAACACCGTTGAGTTTCCTCATTTAAATAGGCACATAATTTTATCAGAAGGGGTTTTTGTGGATATCATAGTAATTTTAATAGTTGAGGTCATAAGTCAGTTGATGCTAGACCATCAATGAAAACCTGAAAGCACTGGGTAGCCTTTTCGTCCTAGTGTGGGACTCCTCGCCAGTTCACATACACGATCCTGCACATGGGATTCGAACCCATCACCTCTAGTCTTGGGTGCGAATGTCTAACCTCTGGACCACTGAGGCGGTATACAACAGTGTTAATGTCTAACCTCAACAAATCTACCATATTGCGCAACCGTCCTGCATTAATGAGGAACAGCCGTCCAGTGATTCCAGACTTTCAATGGTGGTCTTACGTTGATCCATTGATGATCTCAATCAAAACTAAACAATTTCCATAATTCTATACTGATGGGTGTGGATTAAGCAAAATTGTTACGAAACCTATTAGTGGTGAGATTCGTTCCTATCCATTTGAATATCTACGTAACATCAAAATTGAAAATGCTTTTACAGTTTATATATTATTTTCCCTGATATCTTATCAAAAAGATGCTTACCCTAGATAACTATAACAATCGTATCAATTCAACAAACTTAGCTTATGTATACATTCAAATTATTTCAACCTCATTATCTATTCGGGCCTACGTTAAGATTATTTTATTCTTAGTTCCAATTTTATCTCTTCCTCCTCCACTTTGATTTATACTCCCTTACATGACATTTTTCTTATCACATATTTTACATTCACCTCTTTTACCTTACATAATAATCTTATTAATAATAACAATAATGATGATTATTAAGAATAATCGTTTAAATTTGATTGAATAGTTCCACAGCATTTGCGTGTCGAGTTGATGTGAAACATCTCAGCGAATGAATTTGAAATAAATTCAACGTTTCGCCTGGCAATCTGGTTCAAGTTTTTTCTAGGATGTATTTCATCTTTAATAATGATTATCATTATTTCACAAATTGAAATCATGAGTCAACTGAAGCTAGACCACCATGGAAAACCTGAAAGCACTGGACGGCCATTTCGTCCTAGTATGGGACTCCTCAGAAGTGCGCATCCACGATCCCGCACCCCGCGAGATTCGAACCTAGAACCTATCAGTCTCGCGCCAAGCGCTTAACTGACTTCAAAAGATACTCCTGGACTTCTAGTGAGAAGTTGTTACCAGTGGAGTTCAACTAGGTCTGTTGTGAGATATCAACTCACTGAAAACAATGGTGTACGGTGGCGCAACTTCGTGGATTGGTTGAAGTTAGACATTAACACCGTTGGATGCCGGCTCAGTGGTCTAATGGTTAGGCGGTCGCGCGCGCGAGACTGATAGGTCCTGGGTTCGAATGTCTCGGGAGACGGGATTGTGTATGCTCACTGCTGAGGAGTCCCATACTAGGACGAAACGACCGTCAAGTGCTTCCAGGTTTTCAATGGTGGTCTAAGTTCAATTGACTCATGATTTCAACTAGTGACATTTCTCAAATCTCCACAAACCCCTTCTGATTATTATTATTATTATTATTTGTATCTCAACCACAACACAACAATTCCTATTTTATATCAATTTTTCTACATACTATTTTAATTTATTAACCAAAAATTATCGCTTTGAAAGTATCTTATTTTTCCAAACCTGTCCCGGACATTACTACTTATAAAATCTTGTTTTATTTTGTTTATAATTTGTGGTATTTAAGATTTAATCAACCAGAAATTAATCATTTTCTAATTATAACATTAATTTATTAAATTTCATTATTATTTCTTTCCCCCCTTTTTTTAGACTATTATAACATGACAACAAGTTTACATTTGTAACTGTAGAGTTTGATAAATTAATTATTAATAACGATCATTCACTTGGATACATTTTGTTCTTGTGTATTATTAAACAATAATAACACTATCTGTCAATCAATACTTAATTGAAGAGCATAAATCAATAAATTTTATTGATAAACATTAGATAAACAAAAGAAACATTATTATTATTTATTTATTTTTTGATTTCAACACAATTAACTTTTATATTTACTTAATTGCTATTTACAAAATAAACAATCTTAGATCTAATTGTATTATAATTAAATATTTCATATAGAAATAAGGATTTTCCTTCAAATGATAATATTCAATGGTTCTTGTTTATTTTTATACTTAATTAAATATACATTTGATGTTGTTTTACTTGAATCTTCTCATTAATGTATAGGACTGCGACTGACCAGTCTTTTATTGAAATATATGCATACTGTGCGTATTGCTTTGATATTACATTAATTCACAAGCATTATATGCAAAGATGGATAGTGGTTAGCAGTGGAATCGAGGACGCGCGTTTCGTCCTATTTGGGACTCGTCATCTGGATGTACCTGCATCTCAGAGTTGATGTTCACTCAGTAGCTAAGTGGATAACGGGATGGTGTTTGAAGCAAACGGTACTGGGTTTGAGTCCCGGAGTGAACATCAACTTTGAGATGCAGGTACGTCTAGCTGATGAGTCTTAATTAGGACGAAATGCGCGTTCTATGTTCCTCTGCTAGCCACTATCAATCTTTGCTTTTAATTAAATATCATTTAAAATATTAATTGAATAAATGAACTATCAGTTTGATCAGCCTAATAAATGAAGTCGGTAGTTGTTGATCACTTCATTATTTGATTAACTAATTTTTTGAAACTAAAACGATGAAAAATAGTAATTCAAATAATAATGATAATAATTAGTTAATTAGGAGGAACGTTTCTCTAATGATCATGATAGTATTAAGTATGATTTAATATTTATAAAATAAACTTTCATAGTTTGTTTCATCCAGTTTTTAATTTCTGTTTATCAGGAAATAGTCGGAATTCAACATTTTAATGTTCATAATGTGTATTCAACTGATTTACCAGATAAATGAGTTGAGAAATTAACTTAAAGCCAAACTGTGAAAGAAAAAATGATGCTACCCGATTTCTAGAGTAGGTGAAGTGTGTTTAATACTTGTAACTTGATGACAGAAAGTCGTACTACTTAATCATAAACCACTTCTATATACATTTTATGCAAAGCCGACTGTTTTCAACAGAAAATACTTCATTGATAGTAGTGTGGAAGAAAGTGTTTCTATCGTTGTGTTTTGAAAAATAAACTATATTTTTTAAACCGGACTGCTAGAAAACTTAACAATTCAACGTACCGATAGATATATAAGAAAAAAAATATTAAGTACAGTTTTGATGTATATTTCTTTTCATGTTCACATTCATCAAGCTGAACGATGATGAACTAGAATACAAATAGCATCTTTTTTAAGTCACTATTTATTATACTCATCAAAAGGTATTACCTGTTATTTAATGTTGGTCTTGTTATATCATTTATAATCGAATGAAACATATACAGTCACTAATCACCTGAAAGTAAACTTGAAATGGTCGGTAAAAAGTAATTTACAATCATATGTAAATTCGATAAACCTAACTTGGTGAATAATCATTTTGTTAAACATGACTTATTATTAAGTAGTCACCAGAATACATATGAATGTATATGCATACTTTTTCCTTGGAGTAATAAAAGAGAATAAAAGTGATTTATCTTCCATATATTTTGTTAACCAGAATAAAATTGTAGCATTATTATTCATTTATAATGAAGCTGGTTATCTAAGTCGAAGAAACAGATGAATTATGGTTAGTGGTTTAATCTACAACATATCTCAAACTTTAATATGTTAACAACTGAACTACTGAGTCAAGATAACCACCAGCTATAGCGGTGACTATGATTTTTGCTAACATTAATATTAAGTATTTAGATTATTCTCTTGTAAATATAATTGATGAAGGTTTTGATTCGTCTTCGTAGACATATATGAATGTTGTGAGTTAAATGAAGTGTTCAATTTTTATCAACTGGAATAGTGACACAATTATTATATTTTGTAAACATTTACTAATTATTAGTATCATTTGATTACATACTTATGTAAATACTCTGTAGATGGTACCTGTCACAGTTAATTATCAAGGGAATTAATAACATACATTACAGAATTTTAATTACATTAAAGATTCCCATTGTGAAAATTAGAACACAAATAAGCAAACAATCGTTTTCAATTAGATCGTCATCATGCTCTACTCTAATATATATGAATATTTATACGAAAATGTTAAACCAATCAAGGCAATATGGGTCGATAATCACAATGAAATAGAATAGGTCACCACATATAATGGGTAAAAGTACAATTTGGTAGCAGGAAGACAAGTGTACTGATAGTAGTAAGAATAATAAAATACGATAATAAAAGTCTTATCAATAGTTAAACGTTGGAAATAGAAGGTAAGACGTGGGT